CCCCAAAACCCCAAAACCCCAAAACCCCAAAACCCCTAAATTAATTTAAAATATTGATAAATTTAAAATTGTTCAATGGAGCAAAGTGTCACACTCCTCAAGACTGAGGAGGCTCGATTGGATCAACTCTACCATTCGAGGTGAGATGAAGACCAGAGGATGGATTTCACCCAATTCTTGCTTTTTATCCTTGATAGGAGTATTATTAGCAACAAATTTGGAGTAGAAATATTTTATCAAGCATTCAAAGAAGCTGCCCAAAACGAAGAATACCTTGACATCAAAAGCTTCAATTATGCAATAGTATGGCTAGCAAAGATAATATTCGCTGACGACTACAATCCCGTTGAGACCATGTTCACAACTGTCTTGATGGACAAGACAATTACCCATCAAAATGACTTAGTGGGAGGGAGAGTCCCAAGCACAGATAAAGATACCCTAATCGTTCTTTCAGAAGAAGCTATCCTATTCTACATTTCTTACATGGATAGGCTCAAGATCTTGTTTGCATCCTGTCATCATAATAACTCCATGGAGAACAAAAGGAGAGTGAATTGGAAAGAATTAAGTGATAAAAACATGGGAATTCTAACTGGTAGTTTTCTTAACTTCTGTAAAGATTACTTCCTCATTCCACACATGTTCAATGTTGAAGTCCTGGAAGGTATTCTATTTTCAATCGTCACTCCGCTTCACAAAGAGGAATATGAGTATTTCTCTGACCATTTGCTGGTAAGCCAATCTGAAGAAGACAAAAAGAAGATCTCTAGTAGTTATGAGTTCAAACCTGGGGAACCCGAGATCTTGTTCCACGAGTTTTTGTTTTTACTAGGTAAAATCGCTCATAAAACTGTTGTTGCTTCAGAGGCAGAAACTTTGGAAGACAAGCTCAAAGTGTTTTTCTTTGAGAAACTCAAATTCCCTTCTATTGAGAACCCAATTGAATATGCACTTCAACTATTAGGAGGAGAGATCGACCCAGATGAAGATCTCTATTCGAGTGATGATGACTTAGAATCTGAAAAACTGGATGATCCTCATCAGAAACTGCTTGAGTTCATTGAAAGAAGAGCTGAGAAAGATGAGAATTTTGTGTTGGATTATGAAGAAGTCTTACAAGAGCTAGAACTGGCCTTACCTCCTGTTCCAGATCCACCCAAAGTGGTTCAGGAGAATCCTCCTCCATATGCACAGCCTCGTGTCCTATTTGGAAAGCATCTCCCAAAACCTGAAGAAGATGGTAAAGACAAGAAAAAGAAGCCTCCACAAAGGAGACAAAATAATCGTAAAAAGGATGAAAAACCAAAGAAGATTTATCCTTTTGAGGAGTATCCCCCAAAGCCAAGAGAGCCTCTCAACCTATACCACTTTGATAATCTGAGGGATGAAATGACAGAAAATGTGTTTCCCAAGCACTACAGTGCTTCGCAATGTAACCCAGGAGTTGGACCATGCATTATAAAGGAAGTTCTCTTTCCTCCAGAAGCACCTCAAGAATTCGCTACTTTGATCGAGAGTGCTCTGGTTTACCAAAACACCGCAAATTACGAGATGGCTATAGAGACCTTGGAAAGATGAAGAGACGAGTGGAGAAAAGCTGAATCTGGCGAAGAATGGAAAAAGGAAGTCGAGGAGGTTAAACCCCTCAGACCTGAGATAGAGCTCTTTTTTTAAACTGAGCCTCGGATCTGTTTATGAATCTGCTGGAAGAGATGAGCTTGCGCTTTCCAAGTACCTTAGTGCTAAGAATATTAAGCTTGTGTATAATCATCCGGATCAGGCCTTTCCATATTGAGGTATTGGTAGTATTCTGTTTCATATGGAAGAGCCTGTTTGGGCTCTTAGAGCATACCTAAAAGCGAGAGAGATTAGAGAGGAAAGATTAGGAGGAGATACAGTGGATACAGCAACAGTTTACAACAACCTTGGATGATGTATGCTCACAATTGAGAGAAACCAAGAAGCATGAGCATTCTTTGACCTTGCAGAAGCTATTTTAGAAGTAGAGCTTGGCTCTCAACATGAAAGAACTCTCACAGCTGCTCGAAATATCAAGAAGGCAAGACGTACAGTTCTAAACATCAAGCCTGAATATCCTCCTCTATGGTCTTTCGCAGCTATAAATCCAAACCCAAAGCTCACAAAGAAGAAGAAAAAGAAGGGGAAGAAAAAGAAGAAGAAATAGACTTAAGGGTCATTATTCAATTAAATTTAAATTGAAAGGGGTTTTGGGGTTTTGGGGTTTTGGGGTTTTGGGGTTTTGGGGTTTTGGGG